AAAAAAAAAAAAAAAAAAAAAAAATAAAAAAAAAAATAAAAAAAAAAAAAAAGAAAGAACATTGTCGATAGAATTTCTTTTTCTCGAGTGCGGAAGTGAAAATATTTGTGTAGTTATTGTATGTATTTCTGTGTGTAAATGTAAATGTGTGTGTGTGTATATATATATATATATGTGTGTGTTTAATATGTGCGTGTATCATGTGTACTTGTATATGTATATGCATATGTATGTGTATTTATGTGTGAGTATATCTATATATATATATATATATATAGTACGTATGAACAATGAGTCTACATCTCATTGTATTCTCATATTCGTGTTTCTCCTCGCGCGTGTGATTTTATGTATTCAGTGTATTTTTAGTGTATATTATACGCGTACGGATGATTCTTTTTATGTGATGGTAGGCACTGATGGGGGTAGATGGCTGCATGGCGAGCAGGTTCGAGCAGGTTAGTCCTTGACCAATCTGTATATGTGATGTTGTGCACCGTGCTCGGACGTCGACACTTCGAACACATATGCCGTACACAGTAATGTTTCCTGCGTATCCCTGTTCGTTACAACCTGAATAAAAATGAGAAATAAGAAATAATAATAATAAAGAAGTAATAACAATTCGATGAGAACCATCGAGAAATTTATTCATTCGACTTATCGTTAAAAAAAAAAGGAGAAAGAAAAAAAGAAAAACCGACAAAAAGAAGAGCATACCTGAAGGATGGTGAAGTTTTCGAGAACGCTGTTCATCATGTACTTCTCTGGCAGGTGCTTCAACTTGTGGATGAAGTTAATCATATATTCGCACATCGGTGAACGGCTGATACGATAGACGAACCTGCCATTTTCGAACCTGGCGTACTCCGTCTCCACCTTTTCCACCACCTGTTTTCCAAAGGAGCAGACTTTCGTCGAACACGTTATCGTCATGTTCTCGTTGCTCTCGTACCTATAGAAATAGAAAGAAAGAAAAAGAAAGAGAAAGAGAAAGACAAAGAGAAAGAGAAAGGGAGAGAGAGAGAGAGAGAGAGAGAAATAGAGAGAGAGAGAGAGAGAGAGAGAGAAGAAAAAAGAAGAATGATTCGATATTAATTATTGAAATTAATTATACGAAGGGAAAAGAATATTCAAATATCTTTTAATCGTATCGTTTCTAAAATAAAAAAGATGAAAACAAAAGAAGAAAAAAAAAAAAGAAAAAAAAAAGAAGCAAAAAAATCATCGACAAACTTACTGGCTCGTAACGCCATAAAAGGCTCCAGTTTCGTCCTGAATATTGGTATTGAGATCGGCCCAGAATTTAACAAGGAAAAAGGCAGCCTGCGGTCCCTTATCGTAAAGTTCCTTCAAACCACCCTTCTTCTCCGGGAATTTGTCGTATATTTGCCTTACATCGACAGCTTCGAGCAATGGATCGGCATAGGTCGCTGATCCTCCTATGTGGACGAACAGATGCTTGTGGTACTGTAAGAAAAGAGAGAGAGAGAAAAAAAAAGGAAGTGTAAAAAATCCGACAATATTAATTCCCGATTACTTCGTAGAGGCAATCAATTAAATTTTTTTCGATTATTCGAACCACTGTACTCTTCCATATTGATTGATTTATTACGAGTCTTCCCAAGTTGTGTCCCCCGATTGATGCCGGGTATTGTATCGACTATCGGAACAGCTTGCGCCTTCTTGGCCGGTTGTTTGTCGTCCAATCAACGATTTTCTAAAATCAATCTCGCTATGTTAATCTAAGCCCCTATAATAAAGATTCTTTTATCTCGATAAGCCGCTGAGAACCGCTTCCTTGTCCTGGGAGATGACCCAAACGAAGTAACATTTCTAATATATTAACCCTTTGACTACAGCAGACGTTAACTTACTGGAGATAGTAATATCAGCTGTACCATACGTTTGGAAATTCATTTGCAACTTAAAACGCGAGAACCTGTGAAATTTTTTTTATTAGGCGTACTATTTCTGAAAAATAATATTGAAATAATTCAAACATCGACATTATCCAATACGTTAAGCCAATATTATTTATTTATTCGTAATTCGCTTTGAAAACGTTAGTGAATACATTAAAAATTTAACTTTAATAAAGTTAAGTTTTTTTTTCTGCTCTTTTTTTTTTTTTTTTTCTTTTTTTTTCTCACACAATATATCCAGTAATACAGTAAAGTGTTAAAGTAGATTAAACGCTTATAAACGTTTGTTTACAGTATAGTAAGAGGAATTTTTTTAAGCGCCTTTAAAAGCCCCAACACAGTAGTCAAAGGATTAAGGGACATTTGAAATATCTTTGAAAATTTCACCAATGTTTCACGATCTATATTAATATTCATCAATATTACTACTACTAATTACTATTACTATTACTACTATTATTGCTACTACTGCTATTATTAAGACTATTAAAATATGATTACTTGCCTGTAATTAATTATTCTAACGGAATCGTTATTTTTTCTCTTTTCTTTTTTTTTTCTTTTTTTCTTTTTTT